AAGGAGAAAGGACTGTTAACTTCAGGAGGCAAAAATATCAAACATACAAAAAAATTTTGGCTTTACTAGAAGCCCTCTGGTTACCGAGAAAAAGTGGCTGTTTGACATTGCAGAGGCCACCAAAACACAGAGACATCAGAGGCAAGAGGAAACTCCTTTGCTGACAAAATAGCCAAAAAAGGTGATTTCAAAACCTGTAGAGACTTTACAAATTTTGCCTGTGTTGCCTAACCGTGTTCTACCCACTTCCCCCATGTATACGGAATTAAAAAAAAAAAAAAAAAAGAAAGAAAGAAAAAAGAAACTAGGAAAAAACCTTAAAGACAACTGAGGACCAAAACGGATGAAAGATTCTACTGGACAAAAGAATCCTGATGCCAGAGATAATAAAAAACTGTTCATTAAGTAATTACATCAAGAAACACATATGTCGAGTACCAAAATGACTAAGTTGTTACTAAAAGACTTTTACATTCCTAAGTTAACTCAATTAACAAAGCAAGTCTCTTCCAGGTGCCAGACCTATGCTCAAGTAAATCCTAATCCAAAGGTGAGCCAATTTACAGACTGCAAGGAGAAACACAAGGAGAAAGATGGACTTCACTGAAGTAAAGCCTGGACAGTGTGGTTATAGAAACTTGTTGGTTTTTGTGGACACGTATTCAGGCTGGGTGAAAGCTTTCCCCACCAAGGCGGAGACAGCAACTGATAAAAAACTTATCCAGGGGGCTGGGGTTGTGGCTCAGTGGTAGAGCGCTCGCCTAGCACGTGCAAGGCCCTGGGTTTATATAAAATATATAAAATAAATAAACAAAATATATAAATATAAATAATAATAAATGAAATATAAATATAAATAAAATAAACAAATATAAAAATAAATAAACAAAAACAAAGGTATTGTGTCCAACTACAACTAAAAGATAAATATTTAAATAAAAAAAAAAATTATCCAGGAGATAGTTCCCTAATTTGGCCTCCCAATAGCCTTGGGGTCCGATATAGCCCAGCTTTCACAGCTAAGGTAACTCAAAATGTATCTAAAGTCTTTAAAATTAAATGGGACTTATAATATATATAGGCCTTCAAGTTTAAGACAATAAAAAAAGATAAATAAAACTGTAAAAGACACCCTTACTAATTATACTTGGAGACTGGCATAAACTGGACGGGCCTCCTTTTGCCTTTTATTCTAAGACCACCGCCACTGGTTCCCAGACTAAAAGATTAAAAAATAAATAGATAAATAAAAACTAGCTGAAATAGGTAACCTCTCACTTCTTAAGTCCTTACAGGCTCTCCAGCAAGCCTCCCAACAGACTCAGGCTTTAACTAAGGCAGTCCGGCAGCTGGTAACGGGAGAAACTTTTGCCCACTCCTTCCAGCCCGGAAAGCTGATATGGGTAAAATGCCATTACCCGTCTACCTTGAAGCCTTGCTGGCACGGACCCTTTCCAGTCATCTTGACCACCCCAACTGCTATGAAAGTCGCCAGAAAACAACATTGGATTCATCACTCCAGATCAAAAAGGCAGCTTCACCAGAAGGCACATCCCAGGACAACCAACGATGGACAGTACAACCAACAATGGACAGTACGACCCATGGACAGTACCTTAAAGCTAGGATTTACAAGGTGGTCTTTGGAGGACTCTTGACTTTTACTTTCTGTTCTGTTTCACTTTCAGACATGCACACTGCACACAGCTCTCCTCGGAAACTCTTGAGGCCAGAAAAAGACAGGAAGCCTGCTTCTAAAGATTAAACTGCTGGTCCTTAAAAGCATATGATTATGGCTTGGTAAACTTAGTTCAAACTAAAACTTAGATAAATCAACGATTTGATTTAGTCCCATAAAACCAGTGGGGAATGTTGTGGTGTGAACTGATAAATACAATCAATAAGAGTGTAGGTTATAGGTTATAGATTATAGACACAAGATTTTGTGAGATAAGACAATTATAAAGCAAAAAGTGTCATAGACAGGCCTAAGACTCCATTTTGCTGCCTTCTATACAAATACTATTACAAGAGCTATTTCTGAGAAACTGAAATGAAAGCTGTTTTCTTATAAAAATTGTCTTTCTGTACTTTTTAATCCCACAAATTGTACCCTACTCAGGATGCAGTGGTGGTCATGGTGGGTTACATCCTGGGTGTGAGTGCCCTCGTGGGTCTACATGACTGTGAAGTAGATTCTCACCCCACTGATCCCCTGCCCAAATTCAGGATTCGACTGTCACCTGCTTGAACCCAGGACAGTGGTCAACTGAACTGCAAAGCTAATGCTTTTGTTTTGTTTTGTTTTGTTTTGTTTTTTGCTTCTGTTTATTGATTGCTTGCTGCCTGGAAAATTTCAGTTCTGCCTAGAGCCCACAGATCCCACTTATTAATGTTTTAATGTCTATGATTGGCTAGCTTACATGATGATAAGCAAGTCACTGAGGTGTGGTTTTTGTGCTTATATTCTCTTTGGGTGGACCAGGAAGCTGCCGTCTTCCCACAGAGCTTGAGTCTCTGCGGTGGGTGACAGTCCCTGGCCAGGTAAATTAAGCTCTCTTTTGATTTGAAATTCAGACTTAGAGTCCTTTCTGAGGCATCTCCCCATAACACTAGGACCAGGGGAACCAAACCCAGGCAAGGGAAGCAGAAAGCAGTCACGTCAGGAAAAGGCCGAGGAGAGCTTTTGGTAAAAGGTGAAAAAAATTTTTAAAGATATCCTGCAAAGTGTGCAGAAGTGGTGTCAGGAAAAGCTGGCCTCTGGCAGCTCCCTGGAGTTCCTGTGGAAGGCTCTCCGAGGACGTCTGCAGCTATCTGACTGTGAAGCTGTGATTCTAAGGAGGCCAGGTCTACCCAGGAGCACAGGCTAGACACCCTTACTTGCTTTACTGTCCCTTGATTCAGTCCCTCAGCCACCTTGTGCCCTGCTGTGTAATAAAAGTTGCTTTAAGAGAACCAAGTCCATCTTGGTCCACCTTGAGCCTGAGACATCTTTCCTCCCTCCCTCCCTCCCTCCCTCCCTCAAGCAATCCTCCTGCCTCAGCCTGCAAGAGTGCTGGGACCCCAGCCTTGGCCTATCTGTTCTTATTTATTTATTTATTTATTTATTTATTTATTTATTTATTTATTTATTTATTTATTTATTTTTGGCCTATCTGTTCTTTACTTCCAAGGAAACGAATGAACCGTAACCCAAGATCAAAGTGTCTGGGGGTGGGCAGTGTGGGACACCTACTTGATCCAGGATGGAGCAGAGGATGGAGGGGGCAGTGGCAAGATTTCCAAGCTGAGAGGGGTAGCCTTTCTTTCCATTTCTGAGACCCTGCTTGCCCCCACCCCTGCTCAGCATCTCCTGCAGGTGTGTGGGAAGTGACCAGGGTCTTCCTGGACCATGTTGGCACTGCCCATTCCTTCCTGGGAAGAAGGCAGCCTAATCACTGGGCCTCCCCCCAGGCATGATCCAATCCTTAACCTCTTGGATTTTCATCTTATGTTCCTTTAATCTGAAGGGCCTTGCCTCACCTGAGTCCCACTCTTCCCAGACCCCCCAGCTCCAAGGTGCTACCCACCACCAGCCTTTCCTTATTTGTGGCCCTGACCTTGAGTCTCCTGGCTGCTCTGTTCAAGGTCTTCTTTAATACCCTTGCCTGCACTTCTCAAGTGACCCCTTGCCAAAACCCTACTTATCACTCCTTCATGTACCCCACTTGGCTTCTTAACTACAAAATTCTCCCACAGGTCACAGGGTCTTTTGTGGGTCCCATTACCACACTGAGGGCACAGTCCCAGATAAGCATAATGGCCCCTGAGCTGGACTCTCTGACTTTGTCTCTTCCAAACCATTTCCAGTGGTTAACACCCAAATTATTTTATTGGTAGAAATGAAATCACCCCCTGTCTATAAACTTCATCATGAGGTGGGAACAGTGGTGCACATCTGTAATGCCAGCTACTCAGGAGGTCCATAGGATTGCAAATTCGAGGCCAGTGTGAGCAACTTAGTGAGAACCTGTCTCAGAATGAAAAGGGTTGGGGAAATACATTGCCCAGTGTCCTGGCATGCAGGAAGCCCTGGATCTACCTCCAGTACCACAAAAACAAGGTGACTCATCCTGTTTTCCCATCACCTTACTCTGGCCTGTCAATGTCAGGCCCCTTCCCATCTCTTATCTTGAACAAATATGGTCTAGCCAAGTGCTCCCTACCCAGGGCCTTTGCACATGCTGCCCCCGCTGCCTGGAACATTGACATCCTTGTCCTTTTGAAACTGCCTCCCATCATATCTCAGCCCTTGTTTGATAACCCAGCACATTGCCTGACTTATGGATGGTGCTCAATAACTAAAGTTCTAAATCCTGTGGGCTTCTCTAATTCCTAACCCTCAGTCTCTTAGTTGACGAAATGAATTTGTTCTGTGACATCTTCCTCCCAACCCCCAAAGGGCTGGTCCGTCCCTTGGCTCAGAGCTCTTCTGCCATCTGTACCCAAAATCATCTTAGCTCTTGGGGTACAGCTTAGTGGTACACTGTGTGTCCAGCATGTGCAAGACCCCGGGTTTGACCTCCAGCACCACAAAAAATTAAAAATAAAAATCATCTGTATTTTCCCTCAGATTTGGTCCCTTGAGCCACTAGTGAAAGCAGTTCCTCTCAGTTACCCAGCAGAAGTTCTGTGAGATGGGGGCTGCAGGGCAAAAATAACTAAGTTATGATATCGATGCTGTCCTTGAAAAGCAGCCAACTAGAGGAACAGGAAGGGTGTGTGCTCTGAGGCTGGAGGGGTTCTGCTGGCATTTTTAAGAGAAATCAGCTGACTTCCTAGCAGCAGGCTGCCTAATGGGCAGCACCAGGGCACAGAGCCAGTGTGCTGGATTAAAAGGATTGTGGGCAGCTAGTGGGCCCCCAATGGACAGCCTGCTTAGCCCACAGGCAAATTTAGTTCACCTGCTTGCATTTTCAGTGTGTAGTATTATCAAGGTTACAGAACAATAATCCAGAAGCTGGGATTTAACACTTTATTCTATTATGATGAAATTAGAGAGCCACACATGGCTTGGGACTGCTGTATTGGACAGCACAGGTTTGGAGGTAAACTCTGGAAGAGAATAAGTTCCAGGGTGAGATTCCTGAACCTTCCAACAAGTTGCCTGTCACAGATGGCAATTTGGTGGATGTAAATAGAAGGAATGGACCTAGTGGGGCAGAGATAGGGTTAGAAAAAAGAAATAAAAGAAAACCACTTTCAAGAAGGCTGCTTTACTTTGTGTATATGAAATACACTTTTGAGGCCAGGAAAAGAAGCCACGAGAGGGACCAGGTGTGGTGGGCCATGCTGTAATCCTGTTGGCTTAGGAGGCTGAGGCGGAGGCTGGCCTCAGCAACTTAGATCCTGATGGGGGTGTGGCTCAGTGGTAAAGCACCAGGTCAACAACAAAAAAGCCACAGGCAGGGAGAACAAACACTAAGGAGTCGGAGGAAGTGGGCGTCATGGGGACGTAGAGGAAGGCCTCGGGTGCTATCCATCCACAGGTGCACGGGTAGTGCTGCTGGAACCTTGGTGATGCTAGTACAGCGTCTCCCGGGCGTGGGTTCGCAGGTGGCGCAGCAGGTGGGAGTTGCGGCTGAAGCCACGACCACACTGCACGCAGGAGTAAGGCCTGGCACCCGTGTGCACCAGCAGGTGTCGCAGCAGGTTGCAGGTGCGGCTGAAGCTCTTACCACACTCCGGGCACTCCTGCGGGGCTTCCACCTCCTGCATCACTCCAGTGTGTGTGACCAGGTGGCGCTGCAGATGAGCATTGCGCCGGAAGCTGCGGCCACAGGTGGGGCAGCTGTAGGGCCGCTCCCCAGTGTGGCTGCGGCGGTGACGGGCCAGATTGGAGCTGTTACGGAAGCGGTGGCCGCAGGTGTCGCAGGCATGGGGCTTCTCCCCAGTGTGGATGCGCTGGTGGCGCGCCAGGTGGGCATTCTGGCTAAAGCCCTCGCCACACTCGCTGCAGCGGCAGGGCTTCTCGCCCGTGTGGCTGCGCAGATGGCGGGCCAGATCCTGAGTCTGGCTGAAGCTCTTGCCACACTGGGCACAGCGGTGGGGCCGTGGGCCACCGTGTGTCAACAGGTGGCGAGCGAGGCCGGCACGTCGGACAAAGCGCTTCCCGCACTGTGGGCAGGCGTGAGGCTTCTCACCTGTGTGCACTTGCTGGTGGCTGACCAGCTGGGAACTTTGGGTGAAGCTGCGACCGCAGACCTGGCATGAGAAAGGCTTCTCACCCGTGTGCACGCGCCGGTGGGTCACCAGGTGCTCGCTGCGCCGGAAGGCCTTGCCGCAGTCGCTGCAAACGTAGGGCCTCTTCTCGCGGCTCTGGCTCTGACTACCTGAGTCTTCAGAGCCCTTGTGGTCCTTGCCCTTGGCATGGATCCGCAGGTGACGCTTTAGGCTGGAGCGGCGCTGAAAGGTCTGCACACAGTGGGGGCACTGGAAGACGGTCGCCTCTCGCCCTTCTGTCTTGGCCTCTGGGACACACGTGGGCTTTTGGTCCTGGGTGTGCGCCAGCAGGTGCTGCACGAGGCTGGAACGACGCTGGAAACCCTGGCCACACTCAGCACACAGGAAGGCAGGCTCAGAAGAGTGCGTGAGCAGGTGCTTGGCCAGGTGGGAGCTCTGGCGGAAACGGTGGCTGCAGAGGTGGCAGGCATGCGGCCTTTCGTCAGTGTGCGTGCGCATGTGCAGCTTGAGGATGGAGCTGCGACCAAAGCTCTTTCCGCAGCAGAGGCACTGGAAGGAACGCGAAACCGGGTGAGAGCGCACCTGGTGTGCCTTCAGGCGGGACAACTGCCGGAAGCTAGCGCCACACTCGGCGCATATGAAGTGCAATTCTTCCTTTGATCTACGGGTGTCCTCGCCCACTGTGACCTCCAAAACTTCAGTGCTGCCAGGAGGGGACCCTCCTCCACCAGTACTGCTGGTCTCAGGGCCTGGCCCCAGCGTCTGGGCAAGAGGTTCTCCAGCTACCCCCAAGCTGTCTGTTTGTGACTCTGCTGAGATGGTAGAGGACCAGGCAGCCCCATTGGGCTCTTCTGGTTTAAATTCCTCCTTGTCCGGGGTTCTGCTTCCAACTCCTGGGGAAGAAGCAAACAGGGATATCAGACCTCTTCGGAGGGGCTCCTGGGCATCACCAGAACCTGATGGGCCTAGAAGAGAAAAGAAACCCAGGATCCTGCAAAGCCGATGGGTAGGTGAGGCTGGGGGACAAATGAGAAATGCGCATTTTCTTTACCACCTGTTTTTAAAATTTTCAGTAAAATATAGATGACATAAAATTTGCCACAATAGCCTTTAAAAGTGCATATTTTGTGTGTATCAAATAGATTCACAATGTTGATCAACCATCACTACTATCTCCAAATAGAAACCTCATACCTATTAGCAATCATTCCCTTGGCCACCTATTTTATTCTTTCTCATCTAAACTGTTCATTTTTTTTCCTAATGGTGCATTATACTTATTCCTGATAGTGGGATTCATTGTTACATATATTTGTACATGCCCATAACATAATTTGATCAATTTTTAAAAAATATTTTTTTTAGTTGTAGTAGACACAATACCTTTATTTTATTTATTTACTTATATGTGGGCCTCACACGTGGTAGGTGAGCACTCTACTGCTGAGCCACCACCCCAAACCTTGATCAATTTTTTTGACCACCTATTTTACTTTTTATATTGATTACCCATTTTATTTTTTAAATAGTATTTTTGACAGTTTTATTGAGATATAATTTATTTTTTTTAAAGAGAGAGATAGACAGAGAGAGAGAATTTTTTAATATTTATTTTTTAGTTATCAGCGGACACAACATCTTTGTTTGTATGTGGTGCTGAGGATCGAACCCGGCTGCACACATGCCAGGAGAGAGCGCTACCGCTTGAGCCACATCCCTAGCCCCTTGACTACCCATTTTAAAAGCTCAAAATTAATGGATTAGTGGTTAGACCAGACAAGAAGCTGTTTTAAAAAGACCAGGCTTGGTGGCACCCCTATAATCCAAGATCTTGGGAGGTTGAAGCGGGGCGGGGGGCGGGGGGGGGTCACAAGTTTGAGACCCATAACTTAGGACCTGCCTCCATTTTTTGAAAAAGGAGGAGGAAAAAAAGACATCACCAAAAAAAAAAAAAAAAAAAAAAGACAAAAATTCAGGGTCTGGAACTGTAAACAAAAAGACTGTGGTGGTCATGACCTTGGAGAAGGGCTGCTTACCCACAAGATGCTTGGGCAAGGCCTTCTTCACCGGGACATCCTCGAAGGTCAGGGATTCCTATAACAAAAGTAGACAATCCTGTGATTGAGGAACAGGATTCTGGGACCTAAATGGAAGGAAGCACCTTCTAGAATTAAGCTAAGGAAGACCTAGGGCAGAGGGGACCAGCTCAGCTCACCAGCACAGCTGCCAGCTCCTGATCTTGGGCATTCTCCTCCTGCCACAAGGTGCCCTGTGGGACTGACAGCATCAGGACAGGAAGAAAGAGCTGTCAGGAGGCAGCACTGCACCCCAAGGCTCTCAGGGCATGCCCCCCATCGCCCACACCCCATGAAGCCATTCCAGCTCTCTCCCACCAGGGCCCTCCCATCCCCACCCACACATCCAGTCCACTTCCCAGGGCACTGGCTCCTCACTGTTATCTTGCAGGGGCTGGAGTGTCCTCTGGGGCCCTGGGCTCAGTGACTGGCTTGAATCTGGAGCAGGTTTCCACTCTCCAGGCTCAGCTGGACCAGGAGGCTCTGGCTGGAATGGGGGCAATTCATTTGATGGACACAGAGCTGGAGGTTTTTCTGAGGGCAGTTCCTTTTTGGGGCTGTGGCTGGGGACCTGAGAAGGGCTCCCCCGTTCCTCCAAGTTGGTGGCTGCACAGGATCCATTCTTGCCAGTATTGAAACTAAAATCCTGTTGGAAATATGTCCATGTTAGGAGGCAAACAGGAGCAGTCTAAGGTCTACTGCTTCTACAGGGATGGGATGGAGGAAGAGATGGAACAGGGAGTCTCACAGGTAGGAGGGTAAGAGTTGGTGGAAAGTGGAGATTCCTGTTTCTTCCAGGGGCCATCAGTCCCTGTCCACACCCCTGCTGCACAGCCTGCTGCTGCCCACCCCAGCTCACCAGTGGCCCCACGTGGCTGACATCCCTGGGCACGCCCTCCAGCAGTAGCACCACCTCCTCTCCATCCCTGAGCTGCTGACCCTGCAGGCGGCCCAGCAGGTGTGGGGGCAGCACACTCAGGAACTGCTCCAACACCAACAGCTCAAGGATCTGTTTCTTGGTGTGAAGAGATGGCTGCAGCCAATGGTGGCAGAGCTCCCGTAGCCGGCTCAGGGACCCACGTGGCCCCATGTCTTCCTGATACTGGAAGCATCTGAAGAGCTGGTGGGCCACCTCAGGCCGAGGCCTGCCCACTGGCCTCCTAGTATCCTCCTGGCCAGAGGCCTCCTCCTCCTCCAGCTTGACAGCTCCGAGCTGCTCTTGCTCCTGTGGCGTCGGGACTGGCTCCGAAAGCATCCTTCACTGTGGGGGATGCCTCTTGCAGCTGGGCCCACTCCAGGTCCCTTTCCTCAGTTCCTCCCACACCTGTGGAGCTGAAGACCCTGGGTTAGGATCTGCTGCAGGGAAGCTGACTCCACCTGGTCATTAGTGTTAAGAGATGCTGGGGTGTGGCCTCCTCAGAGAAATCCTTTTTCCTATTGGTCAGGGTCTCTGCTTAAGCAATGCAGAAAGGACAGAAAAATTGGACAGGTCATCCTACAGCATCTAAGACCTCCTATCACTCTGCCCCAGTGATTAAAGTGAACATCTCCCAGAGAGGAACAACCTGACCTTCCCTCCTCCTGATGCAACCCCTGAGTACACAAAGCACTATGGAGGACAGACCCTGGCTACAAATGTTTCATTCAATCTAGTCTGGTGTGGAGAGCCAACTTCCAGTTCACAGAGCATTGCCGAGAATAAAGAACAAGTCAACCATCACTGAAGGAATAATTCAACAAATCAGAATGTGAAAAATAACTGCTATAGGGGGTGTTGTCCTACAGGAGACTAAATGGTGGTTAAAATCAAGTGGGCAGACCTTGACTGGATCCTGATTCACTTTTCAAAGGCTCTCAAGGACAGTTTGGGATCAGTTGAGGGAATCTGAATATGGATGGGATACTAGATTAATGACTCCATTATAGCCTTTTGAATGTAGGCAATGTCTACCAGTAAGAGGATGCTATTGAGTTTTATAGGGTTTGGACTTGAAGAGAACTAAGGGATCACCCCTGTTCATGGATTGGTAAGATATGTAGAGGAGGTTCACTGACCTGCTCTTTCAACTTCTCTGAATGTTTGAGAACTTTCAAAGCAAAAAGCTGAAGGGAAAGTTCATGCCTGCACTATCTCCTAGACCAGGCACATGGGCCCTCTGGAGATATCTCATAGGGGTCAAGGACAATGGCACTCAGCTGACCAGTGCTGGGCTGACCAGGGTGGAGCTCTCACCTTGTTTTCCAGTCTCTCTCCTCCCACAGTTCCAGAAGTCCCAGAGGTTGAAGCCAGCATGAGCTGGAGGAGGGTGGAGCAGAGGGAGAGAGCCCAGAGCAGCGCAAAGCATAACTGGAGTCCAGCAGGAGCCAGTTGTAAGTGCATGTCACAACAAAGAGACTGGGGACAGATCAGGGCAGCCAGCGGATGTGGGCTCCAGATGGGAGGGTAATTTGGAGAGTTTTGTGACAGGTGAGTCCTCAAGGCAGAAAGATAATGTTACCTGGTCTGAGAGCCCCTGGTGGATGTACTTTGGGAGTCAGGACATGGGTATGTGAGGCAGTGATTTTACTTTCTTTTCTCCCCTCCCCAATTCTGGATTTTCCTTGATTCATTCCATCACCCCTTTTGGGGTTCCCACTCTAACCCAGAGGCTGACTAGCCATGGAAAGTATTCCTAGTTGGCCACCAGGGGGCACTGGTTCTGCAGAACCAACCACCTCTCTTGTCTTCCTAGCCCAACCCATGGGGTGGCTACTCCCTTTTTTGGGTAGCCCAAAACTATCATAGGGAACTGCCCCAAATTCAGCCCCAAGCACTAGGGACTCAATTTGGTCTTGTTCAATTCTTTCTTCAGTATTCCAGGAGGCTTAAACTTTTCTGAACCTATTCTACTCTTCTATCCTCCCACTCCTCAGGGGGCATCCCAAGCAGGGAAAAGGTAAGAACACCTTGAGCATTACTTCCCCCAAAAGCACAGAGCAGTGTCCCACATGGGGTAATGGCACATGGCAGGCACACTTCAGTGCTAGCTGTTATGTTCTCTTGTTACTGGTTATAGCACCAATGATCATGGCCATCAGTGTGGGACAGTAGCATCTTTGCCCTTTTTACAGCTGAAGACACTAAAACATTTGCCCTAGTGGGTAACCCAGTTTTGGTAATGTTAGCCTAATTTTGAGTTTGGACAGTTTGTTGAGTCTCCTTATAGGAGACAGGGTTTTCTAAATCTCCTTCTTAAGTGGGGTGACTAGAGTGGGGGGTGGGATGGTAAAGAGTACAGGAAACCTGTGCTTCAAGCCTGGCCTCAGGGAAACTGACTCAGGCCTTGTTTCTTGCTTCTGCTCCTGCTCTGCAGCCCCCCTTTTCTCCCTCCCACAACCTGGGCTCTTTCCTAGATTTCTGTGTTTTAATCTCTGGAGGCTTTTCCTGTTGCAGCCACTCCTTATCCCCCATTGGTGCCTCCCTTCTGGGATCCCACAACACAGTCCCTGTGGGTCACTGTGCTGCAGTCCATCATGGTTGAGTGTATTTTGTCCCCTGGCTTACAAATAGGCACTGTATCTAGTTCAGTCTGTATTCATCCAACATTAAAAATGCTGATGACTTCAAATGACTGTTAGTAGTTGTAACAAAATGGAAATCTTACCTTGATGTCCTAAGAATTGGTCAGGGGCAGTGGTGCACGCCTGTAATCCCAACAGCTCCGGAGGCTGAGACACAAAGAACACAACTTCAAGGCCAGTCTCAGAAACTTAGTGTGGCTCTCAGCAAATTAGTAAGGCCCTGTTTCAAAATAAAAAATAAATAAATAAAAAGAAATGAGAATGTAGCTCAGTGGTTAAGTGCTCCTGGGTTCAATCCCCAGTACCCTCCCACCCCCAAAAAAATTAATAGTTGAAGAATACATGTAACAATTTTTCTGGGGCAGAAAAGGTCTGATAAAAAAATTTTTTTTTGTAGTTGAACAGAATACCTTATTTTATTTATTTAATTTTATGTGGTGCAGAGGATTGAACCCAGCACGCCTAAGCACGTGCTCTACCACTGAGCCACAATCCCAGCCCTCGTTTTGTTGTTTTAGAAGCAGCATTTGCAAACTAACTAGAGAACTAGTGACTCACCAGTGGCCCTACAATAGCAGCTGGCAGGTGATGAGCACTTATCTGCCTGGATGCTGTACCCAGAACTCACTTCATCCCTCTGCATTCATGTGCTAAATCATTTCTTTATCTGACAAGAGAGACTTGCTCACAGTCATACCAGGCACAGCTAAGAAAGTGAGAATGTGGCTCTAGGCCCCACAAATACCTGGAAAAGAGAGGATAGTTTTGCCTGGGGCCCAGTGTGATTTTCCTTGAATTGGCCAAGATATCACAACATGAACCAGAAATAAGAGGATTTCAAAGCCCTCAGGCCTAGCCACACAGAGTGGCCAGAATCTCCAGGTGAACCCCCACCAAAAGGTTTCAAGGAGGTGGAATTCAGGCAAGTTGGCCTAGCAAAGTCTGTCCCTTCCCCCAGGTCTCTCTAGGACAAAAGCTCTATTAAAATGCACATCTGCAGGGGGTTGGCAAGGTGGGGGTGGGGACACAGAAGCAGAGCCACGAGGGTGGGGCAAACCCAAGTGGAGGTGCTGCCCAGAGACCTCCAGACCTCCTGAAAGCCCAGAGTCTGGGAGGAGCAGAAGATGGGCTCCTCTGCTGGGATCATCCCTCTCCGCGCACACAGTGGCAGGTGCCTGATTTGCTGGTCTTTGTTGGTCGGGCTTTCCTCCCATTGGGCTTCCCTCTGGGTGCTGGGCTGAGTGAATGAGGCTGATCAATCCACCAGGGCACACATGGAGGCTGCCTTCTTCAGGTCACAGGACCTCCCGGACTCTCCCTCAAGCCCCCCATTGCCACAAGTCCATCAAGCTGGCTGGCCATGGCTGCACAGACCACCCACATTCTCCCAAGATTTCCAGTCCCTCGCCCACCACCAAGACGTGGAGCCCCCCGCCCCCCATTGTCTCTCCAAGCTGCTGTGAACCTCACCCTAGGACTCCCAACTCACCACTCAGGATCCTCAGTACAGAGGAGAGATGCTTGGGGTTTTCTCAGTGTTCCAGGGCCAAAGCCACCTTCTGCCAGCCAGGGGAAAGACTCCAGCAAAATGGGACAGGAAGTGAGTTCCCTCCCCAATCCTACTCAGGTGCTGAAGGGGCGTCCTCGAGTTAACCCTTAACCTCCCAGTCTGGGAACAAGGTGGGGGGGAGGGCGGGGCCAGAGAAACAAAAGTGATGAACCCAGATTCCAAGCCTGCCCTACCCGAGAGACTAACTATTCTCTGAACCGGAACTACCCCTCCAGCCCACTCTAAATCAGGACAGGCCCATACTCCTGGGGGTCTGCCGGTATGCACCTTTCTTTTGGGACAAGAGCAGCAGCTTAAAGTGCCTGCTGTGTGCCGTCTTTCTTGCTAGTATTTTCATGCATGTGATAAAACTGCTATGGGTGTGCTGTGTGCCAAGCACCAAGGACATAGAACTAAACGTGAGGAAGGAGTCCCTACACTCGGATATTGCAGTCCAGGGCACAGGGTGGCAGTGATGGTGCCAAAATGGAACAGGAGATGTGTTGGAAAAGAGAGAGAGAGAGCTCTCGGTCCACTAAGACCCCTAAAATCCTGCCTAGAAACCCGAGCTCCCCGGGAGGGAAGTGACCTCCTTAACCGCGTTGGAGACAGCTCCAAAGTCAAGCCCTTTCCGTTGCACTGAAATGTTTTTTTGGGTCCTGTCCTTGGCCGCATCCCGGAGGGTGCTCCTAGCAGGGAATCGGTGTTGCCTCCCGGGCCCCTGGGCACGCCCCACCGCACCGCCTGCCATGGAGAGCGGGAACACCCTCGGTGAATGGGGCTGCTGTCGGTAGGATAGGACCCCACGGTCAGTCGGGACCAGAAATTGCCTCCCTCGACCTCGTCTATCCGGTCTTAAGTTTTCCGGCACGCACCAGCAACGAGCTTATCTTTAACTCTAGCGTCGGCCTCACTGGACCATGCGCTATTGTGGACACTATCTCCTTGCGCCTCTGCGTCCCTCGCGCGCAATCCAGAGCCTACGCACGGGCATTAGCCGGTAATCCGGGAGACTCCGGGGGCTGTGGCAGGAGGATCGGAAGTTTGAGGCCAGCTTCAGAAATTTCTCGAGGCCCTCAGCTATTAACTGGTAATGTAGATCACAGGCAAAGCGTCCCTACTTTCAGTACCCGCCCTCAAAAAGAAAGAAGGAAAGAAAGGTTGAGCAGCCCCGTGACGCCGCCCAGCCCCCAGCTCTCCCACAAACAGCCCCAGGTGTCCAGTGCGCCCCCTGCGGAGCGCCCAGGCACCAGGCCCCGCCTTCCGCAGCCTCGGCTCGCACTCCGCCCCTGAGGCCCGTCCTGGGCGGGGCCAGGAAACCCCGCCTTGTTGGGCGTGTCTGTAGGCTGGGGCGGGGCCGGGAGCGGGAGCGGGAGCGGGAGCGGGAGCGGTTTCTCCGCAGGTCTGCAGAGCTATGGAGCAGGACCTGTGTCCCTCTGTACGCACGAGGGGCGACGCCGTGCGTCAGTGAGGCGGGAGGGAGCTGGAGTTTTTGCGGGGCGGGTGGAATGAGACTCCCCTCGCTCTTGCTGCTCCCTAATCCGCCCCAGGCTGAACTCGCACAGGCGCGCCCCTGGCTTGTCCCGCCCCTCCCCCAAGGCTTTTTGGCATCCTCCCCCATGTGGCCTTGGCCTTTGGGACAGGGCTGAATACCTGGACCCTTGGGGGCTTAGTGAGTTGGCCCAACCGCGGACGCTGCACCAGGACATGATGCCGGCCAACTGAGGCAATTAGGAACCCCCTCTCCCATGAAAAAAACAGGACCCTTATGAGTAAGGGAGTAAAATTTTTCAGGGAGACATGAAACAGTTAAAATAGTTTCCAGTCTTATGAGGTTTTACAGACATACCAGAAAATTAGGAGTTCAAAAGTAGACCAGTCTTCAAGGTTACAAAATTAACACACCAGGAGAGGGAGATTGGAAAGTTAGAAATACCCAGAAGCCAGATCCAAGAAAAACCACATCATTGAACTTAAACCTACTGAGGCACGGTGGTGATTTCTCCTGCTCCAGAACCTATCTAGGAACTTTCTCAGACATTAAGGAGCAAATTTCAGATGTTGAGGGGGAAAACGCATGTGTAGAATATTCCCTAAAGAATCCTGGTCTTTGAAAAGACATCCCCTATCCCAACAAAGTTACCTTTAATTTATTAACATAATAAAATTCCCACCTGGGCTGGGGTTGTAGCTCAGTGCTAGAGTGCTTGCCTCGCATGTGTGAGGCATTGGATTCGATCCTCAGCACTACATAAAAATAATTAAATAAAAACAAATATCCCACCCTAAGATGGAGACTAAGATGATAATGAGACCTGGGTCTCCTGAAGAGGAGTGCAGGGGCAGCTGAAGCTCCACCTCTACATAGGGTGACTTCAAGAGACCAGGATCCTGCCCACTGGATGCCATAAAATCTGTGCACCTTTGTCCTCTTTTTGTGTCAGCCTGTTATTTCTGTCTCCAACTTACTGCCTCCCCTTGCTCAAAGGTAAAATTGAAGAGACTTGTTCCTCTGCCAATGTGTTTTTTTTCCTCCTCCTCCTCCTCCTCCTCCTCCTCCCCCCCCCCATGGGCACTCCACCACTCAGCCACTTCCCCAGCCTTATTTTGTATTGTGTTTAGAGACAGAGTCTCACTTTTGCTGAGGCTGGTTTTGACTTCACATCCTCCTGCCTCAGCTTCCCGTGCTGCTGGGATTGCACGTGTTTGCCACAGTGCCTAGCTATCTGATTCTTCTGATAGCATGAGAACTCCACCAAGTCAGTGATACAAATACTGTAAGATGGTCTCTGGGTAAGGGACTGATCTGGCATCTGGAGTTGACAGCCTGGAAGAACTGACTGGGAATGCAACCAGAGGGATTAATGTTAGTTGTAAACATGGATTTCTAAGGTCTCTAAATCTGGAATGTCACCTTTCCAAAGAATCTTTCGAAAAGCCAAAACCAGTTTGGCTCAAAAATAGCTTTAGGCAGAAAGCAAAAGCTCTGCAAGCTTTTGACCTTCTTCCTTCCTAAACCTCCTTGCCCCCAAGGGCTCGGCTGACTGGCTGGTTCTGGCTCTGTGTGCAGGTGCCACTCATTCTTTCAGGAAATATTTGCCTCCTATTACTCGTCCTTTTGAAGGACCAGGGATGCTATACTAGTGTGTGCTGCCCCCTGAGGTTCACACATCTGGACAAGACCACTACCCAAGTATTCTTTTTTTTTTTTTTTTTAAGAGAGAGAGAGAGAATTTTTTAAATATTTATTTATTTATTTATTTTTTAGTTTTCAGCAGACACGACATCTTTGTTTGTATGTGGTGCTAAGGATCGAACCCGGGCTGCACGCATGCCAGGTGAGCGCGCTACCGCTTGAGCCGCATCCCCAGCCCTCAAGTATTCTTTTTGACACTTATTTTTTTTAAAAAAAATATATATATATTTATTTTAGTTGTAAATGGACCTTTATTTTATTTATATGTGGTGCTGAGACTCGAACCCAGGGCTTCACACATGTTAGGCAAGTGCTCTACCACTGAGCC